GCCTTTGACAAGCCCAAGTTAAACCTTAAAGTTAGAAAAAAAGGAAAGGGGCCTGCATTGTGCTACAGGGTAAGCCCGAGGCTGCCATGGCTTCCAGCTCCACACATCTGCACGCCAGTCGGCAACACAGCTGCTTCACTTCCACTCGGCTCCCGGCAGCTCAGGCTCCAGGGAGGGCATCAGAAGATGGCCCCGATACCTGGGTGCCTGCTGCCCATGCCAAGGCTCCTTCTCTGCCCATTGTGGCCACTTAGCAGAGTGAACCAATGGATCTCTCTCCCTCTCGCTGGTAACTCTCTCTCAAGTAACTAAATTTTAAAAATATTTTTTAAAATAAAATTACAAGAGACTAAAGATGGCAGAATAGGGTAAGGACATGTTTAAACAGAAGGCGAATCATTAGCCAGGCTGCAGCAGAGGGCACGAGCCAGGGAGCTAGGAGAGGACAGGCCAATGGCAGAGGGGCACCTGGAGACCCGTGGGCATGGGGAAGCAGCAGAGACAATGGGGCAGTTACAGTGACAAGATACCCGACTGATGGTTGACAATCAGTGATTGGTGTCCCCGTCAGCAGCCAGGTGGGAAGAAGAGCTCACTAAGAGCTCATATGGGCGCCGGTTCTAATCCTGGGGGCCCCGCTTCCCACCCAGCTCCCTGCTCGTGGCCTGGGAAAGCAGTGGGGGACAGCCCAGTACATTGGGACCCTGCACTCGCGTGGGAGAACCAGAAGAGGCTCCTGGCTCCTGGCTTGCCTCAGCTCTGGCCATTGCGGCCACGTGGGGAGTGAATCATCGGACAGAAGATCTTCCTCTCTTTGCCTCCTCCTCTCTGTATATCTGACTTTCCATATACAAACATTTTTTAAGTAACTAATCTCCCCAAATACAGAGTTTTCCTGTTTACTTTTTTTGGTCTCTATTACGGTGAATTATTGTTAATTTTATTTCATTTCTATAGTCATGTTTTCAGATAATGTGTACTTAAACATACATCAATAAAAACCCAATCAAGAGACAAAAATTTAAAATAAAGTAAGATTGCAGTAAAGAAAGAAAGAATGAATGGATGGAGGAGGAGAAGGATCAGAGACTTCCCACGGCAACGGCCTCACTACTGGGGGGCACTTTTCCAAGCAGAGGGTACCTGGAAGTCTATATACCACTTCTAATGTGATAAACTCAAAATGTTCACAATGTTCCAGAAGTCTTGTAAGTGGACAACTCTTTATGTTTGAAAAAGAGATCTTGCAAATTAAAGACAAGGCACTCGTGATTGTCAGCAGCCACTTGCTGCCAGCCATGACACTGAAAAAGCTGCATTGGCACCCCAGTCCTCCTTCCCCCCTGCTGGAGCTGAGCACTGGGGAGGTTCCAGCTGCAGGACTCAAAGGAGAGACAGTGCGGGGCCAACTTCCACCTCTGACCTCCCCAGGCATGGTGTTTTATTGCTTGGTCTCACACAGAATTCCAGCAGATGCAGAGATGTGTGGGCACTTGATAAATGAGCATCTTTGGTTTCAGTCTTTGAGAGAGTGAAATCCGTTTACGAGTCCACTCTGCACACACCCTCAATCAGATGCAACCCAACCCAGGGGTCTAGAACCCAGTGGAGCTCTCCCAGTGCAGCATGGGGATCCAACCACGCGAACCACCATCTACTGCCTCCCACGGTGCACACAGCAGGAAGCTGGATCAGAGCCTGGACTGGCGTCCAGCTGGCGTCGTCCGAGCCCAGGCTCACATCTGGACGCTGCCACACGGGACGCAGGCCTGGCTGCTGGACAAACACCCACTGCAGACTAGTGGCTTTCAGTACAAGTGCAAAACGCTGCCAAGGTTTGTTCAGGCACTCATTTTGCCAACGGTCTTTAAATATATGTATTTGGAAGGCAAAGTTGCCAAGAAAAGGGGAGACTCAGAGATCTTCCACTCATTGGTTCAGTCCCCAAATGCCACAGCTGGAACTCTGGGTCTCGCACGCGGGTGCAGGGGCCCAAGCGCCTGGGTCATGCTTCGTTGCTTTTCCAGGTGCACTAGTAAGAAGCTAGGATCACAACCCGGTGCCCGTGTGAGATGCGGTGTCCCAGGGCGGCGGCCCACTACACCGTCACACCAGCTCAGTCCTGGGGATTTTTTGTAGGTGCCTGAGGAGGTCCCTGCTGTGTCTTTCCTCCCAGGCCCTTAAGTAGGGTTGTGCAGTCTCCCCTGGGATTGCAGTTTCTTACTCAGGGAGGCAAGAAGGAGTCGCATCTGCATCACGCTCGACCAGCCAGGAAGGAATGTTCCAGCACCTGTTAGTGTGTTTGTCAGGTGGGTACGACCTGAGGATCCCAGAATAGGAATAGGGGGAAAAAAACCCTGCAGTGAGAGGTCAGCCCCCTGCGTGCCAGCCCTGCGTTTCACAAGCACACATCGTGATGGTCACTCAAGGACTGCGCGAAGCGACCGGCTCCTAAGGAGCACAAAGTCAGCTTCGCCCAGGGGTGGGTTGAAATTAGGGGAAAAGACGTCTCAAACCACTCCTTCCAAAAGATGTAGCGAACGGCAGCACAGAAGACAAAGCACCGTGGGTGAAGCAGAGGCCAAGGGAGAGGTGGTGGGGGGAGTCCCGAGGGGCATGGGGCAGCCCCTGAGGACGCATTAGGCACAGCGCCAGCGATTCAGCAGGTACAGACGCGCAACTAGGAGCTGGGGGCCGCAGAGTGCCCGCTTCACTAGTGACCATGGAAGTCTGCGAGGGGCCAAGCTCGGGAGAATTTCGTAACTGGCCCAGCAAGTCCAGGGAGCGTGCATTTGATGACAACAAAAGAAATATTCCACAACTCAACACAAGGTGGCGGCAGACACCCGTGGACATAATGAGGTCCTCCGCTCCGGGCGGACACCCAAGGGAAGGGATTTCCAGGTCAGCACAGACGCAAAGGAAACCGAGGTTTGTGCCCACAGAAGCCAGACACTGCAGCCCACGGACAGAATAGGACATACCTTTTCTTAAAAAAAGGAGAGAGTCGGACCTGGTGTGATGGCCTAGTGGCTAAATCCTCACCTTGCACACACCAGGATTCCATGCCAGCACGGGTTCATGTCCCAGCTGTGCAACTTCCCCGGGTGTTCATGTGGGAGGCAGCAGCAGCTTGGGTCATAGGCATTTGAGTTTACTAATAAAATTATTAACACACGAAGCCCAGCAAAACTAAGTACCTAGCACCCCGCTCTCCCCCAGTCACTTCCTTGTTTGCTGTGCTCGCCTTGCTCTGGCTGGCTGACGTCACCGGCGCCCACATGTCCTCCAGCTGATGCTCGGTGGACGGCGGGAACTCTTTCCAGATTGTTTCCTGTGTGATTTTGATTGACCCAAATACATCACACTCTGTTTGGGCCCAGCGAGGTAGAGGCAATCTAGAATCCCCAGGAACCTTTCAGCCCCAGACAAGGACTTACTGCTCTAGGAACTCTAGCCCCCGGGACGCACAAGAACTTGAGAAACAGGAGCATTTCAGTGCCTTAGGAGGGCGCCATTCCCACCAGCCCATTTCCTCGGGTAAAAGCTACTATATTTTCAAGGAAATGTCCTATTATGGCCGGCTTTTCTTCCCCATGTCAATACATTCAATTCAGCTCTAACCGTGCCAGGTGCTGACTCAGCTTTGAGACCTACCCTTGGCCTTCCTTTTCATTAGTCCTGAAATCTGGATTATAATCATAAGTAAACATGATTTAGCTGCCTTCTCTGGTAGCTTCAGAGCACGGCTGAACACACACGCGCAGTGTGAACCAAGGGACACGCTGCCCGGTGGCTCTGCTGCAGAGGTGCGGTGTCTAGCTCAGAGGCCGGGCAGAGCGGCAGTCTGACCCTGCCCAGCCAACCACAGTGAATCCACAGAAGGCAACCTTGGGTGCCTTTGGCACACAGAGGCCCCACCCCGTTCCAGTCATGCATCACTTGGAGGCTGCGAAGGACTCTGCACGCTCTGTGCGCTTGTGTCCACTCTCATTCTGAACAGGTTCTGTTTGCTCTCCACTTTTCCTTAACATTTATAAACTCACTGAAAAATAATAACTTTTTTTTTCTTTCTCTTTCTTTCTTTAACACAGAGAGCAAACACTCCCATCAATGCCTTCAACTGCCAGAACTGGGCCGGCCAAAGGCCGGGAGCCAGGAACTCCGTCCAGGCCTCCTACAAGGGTTGCCAGGGACCCACGCACTTGAGCCTCCACGGTGTGCACCTGCAGGAATCTGGAGCCCAAGCCACGGCAGGGACCCGACCCAGACACTATGATACGGATGAAGGTGTCTCAGCATCTACGGCAAACACCCACCCCGTCATTGCTCTCTTATCACATTTTTAATATTTGCCCCCAGTCACACTGGAATGGGGAGAGCCTTCATTCACTGGACCCAGGAAATGGCTCCCCGAAGGCAGGAGGACTCAAAGCGCGGGTCTGGATCCTGGGGGTCAGAGACATTCCAGTGAGTTGGGCAATTTCAGGGTTCAGAGAGCAGCAGCCACAGGGGTCTGCTGTGGGGACACACACACCTGTGCCTCCCAGCACCGTCCACCTGTCTCTGCGGGATTCTACGAGAGGTCCTGACGAGGACGCCTGTGCTAGTGCCACTGCTGGCCCCCCGGAAGCCAAGCCTAATGACTGGGGCAACAGCCTTACCGGGTAGCCCACAACAGCCCCCTTCCAGCTGCTGTCCTGTGGTCATTCTTCAGCCACCCCTCCTCACCCCTTCAAGTGTCCCCATCCCAGATCCACACGAGAGGGATAACCCAGAAAAGGAAGGGAGAGGTACCCAGGACACCAGCGCTCCTGGCAGTGGGGCTGAGCGGCACCAGCACTGCACACTTGGGGAAACCACAGAAGACCCAATGCCAGGCCCTGGCACCAGCTGTGAGAGATGGAGGGAGGGAAGTCAGGGGTCACTTCTCAGTCCTGGGCCTGGGCAGGTAGTGACAAGACACAGTGCCCCCAGGAAGAGGGGCAGGGAGGACATGGTGACCCATGACAAAGGATCGACTTTATTTTGCCGAGCAGAACACATCTGCAATTGAGGTCAAATGCAATGTTAACACCCTCTGCATAACACACAGCGTAACAGTGGCCGAGGTGGCCTGGAGGAATCTGTGTTAGGGTCCGGGGTCAAGAAAGAGTCCCTCGGTGGAATCGAGCTTCGCTCCTCCATCTGGTGGAAGCAGTTAGCCTCCACCACTGCTGCTGGAAGGCCGGGAGATGAGCCCGTTCGGAGGCGCCTGAGCTGGGCGCAGGGCACGAGTCGTTGCAGACACAGACCTTCACCCTCCAGGAGACCACCTCTGTCCTGTCCTGCTCTGCCCGGGCTGAAGGGAGCATGATGGCTTCCAGCAGAGGGCTCTGCATGAGGTCACTGAGACGAGCTGAGCACCCCCTCATGCTCTGTCTTACAAAGATGGGGTCCCGGCAGGATCCATGTGGGAGAAGCTGGCCAGACGAAGCCACTGCTAGCCGCCTGCCCTGGGCTGGCCTCCCGCCCTGAGGCACACAGACAGGCAGGACAAACAGCTCCTGCTTGCCCACAGCTCTACCCACAGTCACCCCGCCCCTTCCTACCACTCAAAGGCATCCTCTGGGGCCTCCTTGCACTCAACAGAGCCCTCAAGGCCACTTCCTGGAGGAACCAGACGGACGACTTAAGGTGACCCCTTTGATTGCCACTTCCGCCTTACAGCAGCGCTACAGGACAGGAGAGCGAGCCAGCCCTACCCTGGCTGTGTGCACCCTCCAGCATGCTCCCCCAAATGCCCCGCATCCGCCTGTGGCCCTCAGCATGGCATACATGCTGCATCAACTCCAGGGGCCATGCCCCTCGGTCACTGGAGCTGTGGCCTGCCTGCCTCCAGGTCACCCACTGCAGAGCTAACTGAGCCAAGTTCCCTTGCCTAGGCTCTTCCCACCTCCTCATCCAAGAAAGTGCGAACCCCCAGGGTGCCTATGAGAGAGACAGAGAGAGAGAGAGAGAGAGAGAGAGAGAGAGAGAGAGAGAGAGAGAGAAGGTGAATCTATTAAGTATGCAGTTAATCCTGCACCGCCCTAACTCCCCTGGCCATCCCCGGGGCCACTGTGCTAGAAACGGCAGCAAGGTCACACCTTCCAGCCCCATTCAGTGCTCTGCCTGCCAAGCCACACTGGCCCGGGAGTCACTTTCAGGCGTGGACTCAGCAGGCTTCCCTGGGTAACTGGACGGCAGCCTCCCCATCACATCTCCCTTGCGGCATGGCCCTGGCTCTCGGCTTCCCGGCTCCGGCCGAGGCTGCTAGAGCCAGGCCCTGAAGAGCTCCTCCGAAGACAGCACCACCGCGGCACAGGCGTCCACCTTTTCCCTTCGGCAGGTGATTAACTTCTGGGGTGAGCTGGTTATTTTCTGAAAAAGAATTGTCATGACTACTCATTAGATGCCCACAGCAGCCATAGGAGCAGAGACCATCACAAAACTCCCAACCAATGGATCCATTCACTTTCTTATTTTCTGTATGTGTTGATTGCCATGGCAGAGATGGGGAGGAGGTTAGACAGAGAGAGAGAGAAACAACCTACTAGTTCACCTTGCAAGCGTCTGCCACGGCCAGTGCTGCGGGGGCACCCAGCAGATGACAGCGGATTAGCCAGCTGAGCCACTGTGCCAACCTCATACAAATCTCACTTTCTACGAAGGCAACAGGGCTGTCCCTGACATGGCCCATTGAAGAATGACTGAGGCACGTCTCCGTTCCCCTTGTCACCCACACTCACTGACACATGACAGCAACAAGGGAAGGGATTCTTGCAGCATCTTCTCCCATCTATCTGAAACAACTACGGACACAAGACAGGGAAAACAAGTGTATTTTTAAATATACACCAGGCAGAATTAATATCATCTTCCTGGCTTACATATTTTTGCTTTCGACTCTTGCTTAGCGACATAAACTTTAATGAAAAGAAATTCCAAACTGCATGCTTTAGAGAGAATAGGAATGTTTCAGGCACACAGAAAAAATTACAAAAACTCTGGAAGATTCCTTGAAGAATTGTCAAGGGTTTCTGACTGGTCATTTTTCATGGTTTAATTAATGAGTGGATTTTGCAAGGATGGCTGGAAATTGCTTTTTAATCACTTGAAGGATCATCTAGAGGAAAAGCAGTGAGGCTGCACCCAAGTGGACTTGGCTCCTGGGCTCTCACCCAACACCATAAACAGAACCTGTCTAAAGTCTGAAGTCAGGAACAAGGAGGTAGTGTTGTGATGTGGTGGGTTAGGCGATTGTCTCCAACACTGCACACCATATTGGGCACCGCTTCAAGTCCCAGCTTCTCTGTTTCAGCTCCCTGCTAATACCTGGGAAGGTAGTGGAACACGGCCCAAGTGCTTAGGCCCCTGCACCCACACGGGAAACCGGGGTGAAGCTCCTGGCTTCAGCCTGGACCAATTATGGCTATTGCAGCTATTTGAGGGAGTGAACCAGCAGATAAAAGCTCTCTCTCTCTCTGGTTCTGTCTTTCATACAAATAAAGAAAGAGTAGGATGGTGGTGGGCAAAAGCAGTCAAAGCTAGACACCTCCTGGCAAGGGATGCCTGTAGAACAGACATGAAGGGTGAACTGGCATGCCCACAGTGACAGCTGGGACCCCAACGCCCCCACTTGCAACAGGACACCTCTACAGCCTACAGGGACAAAGCTGAGCTGGACTATAGCATTGTGGCCTAATTAGTGCATATGAAACACGATCCCAGCAACTCAGAAGGAACATCCTTTCACACTTCAGGGACTGTGAGTCCCCCAGTTCTCACTAAAGGGCTCCCTCATCCTCCTGCATGATCACACCACACTGCTCTCATGATGAGCAGTGAGTCAGTCAGTCATCTGAGTGGTCTGGGAAGGGACCTGAAGGCAGGGACCACGATGCACTTTACAAAAAATGGAAACTATCATGAGTTAAGCCATGTCCATCCTCAGAGCAGAACCGGGCCCCAGCTCTATGCCAGCATGGGCAGCAGCTATACAGATTACCTGATGGACTGAACAGAAGGGGGGCTGGTGCTCTTTCTGCAGGGGCATGAGAGCAGGCCATGCAGGTGTCTCAGGATGCTGGGGCGATGAGCAGTTGCAGGCAGCTCTGGCCCTAGCTGCTGTCCAGAAGCTAAGGGTCAACTCCTTCCTCCCAGGAGACAGCTGAGGGAAGGCACCGGCCCAATGGGGATGTTTGCTTTTGTTTCTGCTTAAGTTTTATCATGTTGCCGCATGAGGCTGAAGTCCAGGGGTAGCCGAGGGGGCAGCTACATCCAGCACGGGGTTGGTGCTGCTGGCAGCCTGCATGTACTGTCCCCCTTCAGACGGGCACACGGGGCTGGCCCCCACTGCAGAGATTCAGGCATGAGGCTTGGTGTTCTCAACAGTGACACAACAATCCTGGACTTGTTAGGAGTCCCATGCTACCCTGTCACCCCACGCCTCCAGCAAAGTCCAAGCGGGGTGCTTGCCTGCCACACTCACACACGTTCTTTGCTCATAATCAATGCCTGTGCCAGTGGCCCATGTGAGCATGGGTTGGCATCCTGGCTGCCCCACATCCAAACTAGTGTCCTGCTGGATTTTCTGGGAATGAAGCAGATGACCCAAGTCCGTGGGCCCCTGCCACCCACATAGAAGATGACCTAAATGGAGTTTCAGATCCCTGGCTAGAGCCTGCCCCAGCCCTGACCATGGCAGCCATTTGGGGAATACACCAATGGACAGAAGACTGCTTGGTCTCTCCCTCCTTCTCTATAACTCTACCTTTCAATTAAATAATAAATAAATCTTCTTTTAAAAAAGAGCAATAAAGAAGATGTCATGGCTTAAATGTTCCCACCATCTCCACCGAAACAGGTGTTGGAACAGGGTAACAGCAGGGTTGTAGGGGGACCCTCAGGAAGTGGCAGGGTCATGCGTGTGGTCCTCATGAACACATGAATAAGGCCTGTAGGCCTGAGCTCTAGCTCTCTGCCACCTACTGAGCTGGGGCAGGAACCCAGGACATGGGCGCCCCAGCCTTCCAAACCATGAACCCAACAGACTTCTGTGTCTCTCCAGCCACCAGTCTGTGGTCTTTAGTTACAGTAAAACAGCAGGGCAGACCAAGCAGGAACCTCCTTGTGCATGCACACCCCAGGAAACCCAGCGCAGCCTGTGTCTAGGCCTAAGAAAGGTGCCAACCCCGTCTGCTCAGTACGGCAGGGGGGAAGGAAGTGAGATTACCAAGGTATCAGGAAGGACGACCTCAGGGCAGCAGGAGTACTGGAACAGCCGGCCTATTTTCCAGATGGAGAGCGGCGCCACCACAAGGATCAGCATGCAGCCCAGGAATGCAAACAGGGCCAGCGCCAGCGGGGCAGCCTCTCCTGCAAACAAGAGCACACAGGGCTCAGGCACAGCGGGCACAGAGGAAACCTCCGAGCCGGGCCTCCTCCTGTTTCCTGGCGTTGTTTCCGCACGCAGGCCACAGATGTCAACACCCTGCAATGTGGTGTGCGCTCAGGGGGAGGTGTTAGCTTAAACCGACCACCTTCAGAACGTCCTTCTAGAATGCAGTTGAAAACACCTGGTTTCCAAAAAGGCCCAAGAAGATGAGTCTTTTCCTTTGGGTGGAGGGGGAGAGAGGAGCATGTGTGCTAAGGGACGAGCTGTGTCAGCAGGCACCTTGGCACCACAGCCAGGGCCAGGGCGTGGGGAGGGATGGAAGAGTGCCAGGTCCCAGGCAGGATGAGGGGGAGGTGCTGAAGAACAGCCCAGGACGGAGCTGGGCGGGAACCAAAAACAAAGCATGTCTCACTATTTCCTCCTGGCACTGGTTCTCGTCCTGGAAGGAAATGTCAAGCTTAGAAAATGGTCACATCATGACCAGGACCTGGCAGGTCTACCACGTGGGACGGGGCTTCCACCTGCCACCAGCCCCGCCCAAGGCGTTGACCGTAGCAACCTGTGGTCCTCACCCGGGCGAGGGTCCTGCTGCTTGCTTACAGTCGCTTACTCCAAAGAAAAGTGGAACAGCCAAGGTCAGGTCTGACCCCCCCCGAGATGCAGAGAGGTTTTTTCCACGTCTCTCTGCTCTGCGTCACCTCAAGGCGGGCCGCTCAGCGTAGAGGAGGGGATGGTGCTCAAACGGGGGACCCCATTTGTGCAAGAGAGTGCAGATGTCACGTACACAGTGGCCAGATTACGGGCCAAGCTTACGGAGGAAAGCTGCTGGGGGTACAGGACAGAAGAGGGGACATGTACCTCCCACTTCATGCTCAGCTGTGTTGGCTGGACTTAAACATGTTTGACATTTTAAAATGCAGTATAAAACAATAATTAGAAAACCCATATGTAAATGTTATGGATACGGCATTAATGGAAAAGCAGACACAAAACATGCATGCTACAAGATGCCAGTATGTGCCCACCATGGGCAGTGACTGTGGGGTGACACTGCAGTCACAATTCACACACATACTCCTTTGGCAAAGCAACTTCCCGGAACTGGACCCTCAGATACGAGGCTCCAAGATCCATGCCAAATGTATGTTTGGACAAAACTACAGGTGGCTTTCAATTTTTAACTTTTGGTAGCAAAGTGACCTTAGATTTTTAAAACAGTTTTTCCCACAAACTTTAAAAAGTATTCTCACCTATACATGCCAGCAGAATGATCCATGTACAATGAAATTAATGAATACATTGGTTCTAACAACAAAATATTTAATAAAAACTGAATGCTCACTGAAAAGAGACTGAAGTCATTCTTGATGGATATGTACAATGGAATTTTAGGCAGCACGAGAGGCCTACGAGGGGGTTTTTTGAACAATATAATGACAAGATGCGTAAACTGAACAAACACAAGCCCCACCGCAGTGCACAGAGCGCTACCACTTGTTTCACACAGCAGGGCAACACACACACACACACACACACACACACACACACACACTCGCAAGCCTTCAGAAGGATACACAGGGAGCTAATCTCTATAAAAGGGATAGGGAAGAAGGGGAAAAGGAAAAATTTCCATATAAATCTTCATTTTTAAAGACAGAGTATATATAACTGGTGGTACTTGATGGACAGGATCAAAGGTCCTAAGATTGTTCAGTTTTATTTCTTTTCAGAGGATCTTTAAGCACTGTTGTTTAGAAAAGCATGAAAACCCAAGAGGAAAAACTGAATCAGGACGATTCCATGGACTCTGCTGAAGGTCCCTCCTTCGGAATGAAAGGAGCTGTGCTGCACAGCCACAATGTGGTGCCCGCCTACGAGGCCAGGCTCACCCAGGGAGCCAGCCTTGCAACCTCTGACCCCAGGCCAAAGTGCTCCTGACAGCAGGCCAGGCCCACACTGGACCCTCTAGGGAACCCAGCCAGCCTCCGGCGGCAGGCGCCTAGCACCCACGTGCAGCAAATGTGTGTGTGCTGGGGCTGTCAGCGGGCCCGAGCAGGCCACCCTCACCTTGCACCTCGATGCACTGTGCCTGGCTGAAGGCGCTGTGCTTCCTGATGGCCTTCACGTAGGTCTGGGCCTTCACGCAGTATGTGGCTCCCGGCTCCATGGTGGTCAGGTGCACCGGGACGCCCTCACTCCTCAGGACTTTGGTGTGTTCCTTCGAAAGATCAGAACAACACAGTGATGAGAAGAGCCAGAGGGGCAAGCTGCAGACATTGCCTTTCCAGATGAAGGCTGTCTCCCATTCGGGGATGCTTGCATTCCTTCGCTCATTCACATCTCTCGGGAGCTGGCCCTGTGCCAGGTATACTGCCACACAGAAGGACACAGCATTGAATAAAATGGACAAAGATCCTGTTCCCGCAGCACTTGCATCATGGAAACAGACAAAATACCAATTGATGGTAGTTGTATAAGGCTGCAAAGAAAACAGCAAGGCAAACAGGAAGAGAGACGAGAGGGCACTGCTTTAAACAGCAGACATTTGGGCAGTTACTGAAGGCCAGCGATCTTATTCGGCAGGCCTTGCGGTGGCCTACACTGTCAGGAGGGATCAGGGCATCACAGCAGTGCAGCTGGCGGGCCAGGCAGGGCAGGGCCGGGCCCACCCTTCCCCTATCTATCCACCCGTCCGCCTCCACCTGCTCTTCAAGGTCAGAACTGTGCTGGAGCCTGTGGAGGCTTGTCTGGACCAAGCCTGTGTGACTCAGGGTACACTTGCCTTGCCCACCACCTGCCCTGCCAGTTATCAAGGGTGGAGAATGGCTTCGCCCCAAAACTCTGATGGAGTGGTATGTTCCTCCTGCCCAGGCCCTGCCTAGCCCTCCTTGGTGCCCTCTGGCTGGCTGGCAATGCCATGTCCTCCCAGCAGGCCCTGACTGCCCTGCCATGCCTTATTATGCAGGTGGTACATGTACCCAGCCTCCCAGATGCTGCTATGAAGTCTCTGGATCTGAGAAGAGTCCAGTCCCCTGTGACTGCCTGGGGGTGCTCCGGTAAGAGGAGCAAGACCAGACAGATTCTTCTCCTAAGGATTTGGCATCTTGGGAAATGGAATACCTGTGGCACGAAGCAGAACAAAAATGAGAGGATGTAGCAAAAACAGCCAAACCCAAGGGGTCCAAAGGCACGGGCAGGGAGGAGTGAGGAGGACCAGGGCTTGGGAGCAAGCTCCAGCCAGAGCAGGCTACAGGAGAAGGGCAGCAAGGAGGACTCGGAAGAGGGCAGCCAGGCCTCCATAGGCCATAAGCCAGTCCCTGGCACCCTGCCCACCTCTGCAGCTGGCCAAAGTCCACACCCTGGAGAGGCGCGCAGCCTCATGCTTATGCAATCGTGCCTTCATCAGAAAACCCCTGGGCTGCTGCCTGTAACACCTGAGGTGGGAGAGAGATGCATTGAAACAGCATTGTGGGTCCAACCAGGTTGGAGTTCAGGGCAAGGAGGCAACCCCCATACTTCAAAAGATCGGCCAGAAAAGGCGTCCAACCAGTGCTTACGATGGACCCAGGCAGTTCTCTGAGGACAGGATTGACAGGGGCAGGGCTGTCAGTGTCCCCTAACTCTCCTTTCCCACACTTTCCCCTGGACTGCTGCCCATCAGGCCACCCCGGCCAGCGTGTCTCCTTCCTGCCTACCCTCTCCTAGGCCCCAAGTCTCACCTCGGCACCAGCTTCTTTCTTCCAGTAGGCAACAAGGAACTCAAAATGCGGCCCCAGGTCCTCCAGCTCGATGACCAGGTGCAAGCCATCCTTGGAGAGCTGCACCACAGGGCACATGAGGATGGCTAAGGGCAAGACACGGGCTGAATGAGTCAGTCCCACGCAGGACTTGGTTTCTCTGGCCCAGCAGGACCAGGTCATCGGGGGCACAGGCCAGCCCCTGTGGGGATGGGGGGGGTTAGCTGCAGCTTCCTGGCACCTGTGACCCACACACAGGCACTCTCCAGTGCCCAGCAGATGCTCAGCACTCACTTTTCAGGTGAGGAATGATTGCAAAAGCAAACAACAAAAATGACAGTTACTTTTATTATTTTTTTTTTATTTTTTAATCCCTTCACTGCAATCAAGTCATAGGTTCTCAGGAACATGACAAAAGAGTCAACATTTTGGTTCCCTTTCAAAACGTTCCTTCCCCTACTGCTCAGCCTTAGCAGAAACCACCCCACTCTTGGCTCAATTAAGCAAGCAGATGCTGTTTGTAAGTGCTTGCTTAACGCCCACGCCTGAGAGTGTCTACATGGCACACTGAGGCATATTTTCACCCTGCAGGCGTGAACACCCGTGAGCTAAGTCACGAGAGGCATGGATTTGCCTGCTATACATCAGGAAGCTGGCTGGCTACCTGGGCATGGGTTGGCCACTCTGCAGGTCACCAAACCACACAGCAGCCACATGATTGCATTGTAACCAGCCTCCACCAACTGTTCCTATCATTGCCTTTCCCGTGTGACCAGCTGCTTCCCCTGGCCACCCAACACATGTGATCATGTACACCCTCGCCGTTGCTAGCACTCAGCCATGTCTGGCCAACTCTGCCTTCTTTCTCACTTCCTTCCAAGACCCTATCCAGGAACTATTGCATAAGCAAGGTCATTTCTTTTCCAGTGACCATGGAAAGGCTACATCCGTGTGGCTCTGTGGCGTGTACACATCTGTCTCCACACTGCAGCTGCTCAGACAGCCACTGCTACAGGGCTGATGAGGCACCAGGCAGGAGGCAGTGCAGGCTATGGAGCATGACTAGGGAGCCAGCTTTCCTGCTAGGTGCCCAGCATTGGCATCCCTGCCACCTGCAGGCCCCAACACACACTGTCAGGATACAAAGGCAAGGTGGGAAAGGAGTGAGCCATTTTCAAAATGCAACAGTAAGGAATGTTTGGGCTCACAACATCCTAGCTTTGCAAAAACTATTTTGATGCAAAAAAAAAAAAAAAATCCTAAGAGAACGCTATTGGAGTGAGGTGGGATAAAGAAGGGTCTTACTTGAGTTTCGATTGAAGGGGTGCTTCAGGGTGCTCCAGGCTGAGGTCTGTGAACCCAGTGTGGCCCTGACACGGAGGTGGTATGGCACGGTGGCGGTAATGTCGTCAGTGACGTCACACTGGGGGCTTTCAGTGAGGGAGCACCAGCTGCTGGGAATCCAGACATGGCTCATGTACAGGCTCTCATACTCCCTGGTCAAGGAAAGGAAGGCACGGTGTCACAGCAGTCCCTCCGACCCAGGCTCCATGACAGCAGCAAGGAGGTGCCTTCACTCCTCTACTCCACGTCAGTCAGCAAGACAAGCCGTTGCTGCATACCCCGCTTGCTGTACTGTCCGTCTTCATCAGCCATCCTTACTCCTTCCATCACCAGGTAAAGGAAGCACTAGGCACAAACCCCAGGCTGTGCACTCCCCCAGTCACTTCCCTAATCTCAGCCACCATCATCCCCTGCTTTGAGGGCTCCTGGTTCCACACGTCACTCTTCATGACATTCTCTCCTAATGACACCCTGTAGCCCTTCAAAGGAGCCCAGGCTCTTCGATGGCCTCAGGGACTGGCCCTCTCCCTGCCTCTTGGCATGATGCTCTTCCCCATCGTGGTCAGCTCTTTCTGCCTTCCCCATTTGTGATTGGCTATTTGTCTCAACCACCCTGCCATGGCTGTTCAGTGCCTGCTTTTCCTGTCAGTGAGATAGGACATAACCATCACCTCGCCTTCCTGACCGCTATAATGGAGCTGCTGAATCAACTCGCTATCTCACTCAGCCTTTCGGATTCTTTCTAGCACTGGTCAGTATCGACAATGGCCTAGAGCACTATTGCCCAATTGAACTTTATCCAATGATGGGAAATTGCCATGCTTTTTAGTATAGTAGCCATTAGCCATACATGCCCAGGGAGCATTTGAACTGCAATTAATGGGAATGAGGAAGCAAATACTTTTAACTAATTTAACTTTTTACAGCCACTTGTGGCTAGCAGCTGCCACCTGGGAGAGTGCTGACAGCCCTACGGAACGTTCTGTCTGCAGCCTCCTCCACGCAGGTGTTAGCTGCATCCTTGAGTCCGCAACAATGTCCACACACGTGGGTGCTCGGCCTGCATTCACTGGTGATGGAATGTACTGAGCACTTGAGTCCCTGATACTCTTCCACAACCGTGAGCACCTAAAGAAGAGGCGGGCCTGCTTAGCCCCAAGTTCATCTGCAGGGTCATGCTTTGCTTTGGCTCACAGGTGTAAGTGCAGAGTTAAGAAAACTGAGGTTTCACCCAGCCCCTACAAGATTCAAGTCTCCATCTGTTAATCCATCTCATTCAGAATCAGATTCAGCGGACAGTGACTCACTGCTGAAAGCCACACAAAATTGTGTCTAAACCACTGTGTTCTCATCAAGTTCACTGTCAAATTCTTAAGAAAAATCCCTCTCATTTCTTCAACATTCCCAAAGTCTCTGCAGACAGAGAAGCCAGCTCATGGGAAACGTCCTACCTCTGGGCTCACACAGCCTCCTTGGGCTGAGGAGGAAGTGCTGGCCCTTCAGGAAGCCACTGATGTTGAAGAGGGAAAAGTTAATTAAAAAGCAAAACACTCACCCCTGGTACTGGACAGAATAGTACACGGTTTCTCCTGGAAAGGTCACCGGACTCCAGATGAAGAGATGCTTCATGTTGGTTGAGTGCACAGAGAGGTTCGAAGGGGCGGGCAGAACGACCACTCCATCTGAGATCAACATAGACAAGATGATGGGAGAGCTCCTGGGGGGCTTGCTACAGCTTCCAGTGACGTCTACCGTGGGGGCTGACACCATAGTCAGCAGGTAAAGCCTTCGTCTACAGCACCAGCATCCCATACGGGTGCCGGTTCATGTTCAGCGGTTCCATTTCCGATCCAGCTTCCTGCTAATGTGCCTGAGAAAACAGCAGTGTGCACCCAAGTGCACCCACATGGGACACTCAGATGAAGCGCCTACTTTGGACTGGCTCAGGTCATTGCAGTCATTCGAGGAGTGAACCTGTTGATAGAAGATTCTCTCTCTCTCTCTCACTTTGCCTTTCAAACAAATACATATATTTTTTTAAAAATACATACTGCAAGTTCTCACCTATTTATGAGTCAGACACAACTCTAATTTCATCCGAGTTGTATTCATGATCAATTCTTGCTGTCACTGTAATTCTGACTTGGTTATAAAATTACATATTAATACTACTACTAATAACTAACTTGGTTCTATCTAGATCATGTACTAGATTGCTACATGATTGATTCTTGCAATCCTCCACCACAGTAAGAGGAAGATTATCAGTTTCTGCATTGTACAATGAGGAAACAGTGACGCATTTCTTTGACTCTTATGTCACACTGACCTGAATTCAGGCCTTGACTTTGCAACTCCTACATGACCCAAGGCAATTTGTTTAAACCCGGCCTTCACTCTCTATCATCACATACTGTGCAGGCTCCTGCCAGCTTCAATTTAATTCCCTATCTTGCTTGTTGCAACCTCTGGGTACCAAGGTCCATCCCTTCATGTCACCCAAAAAGGCCAAACGAGGCAACAGCTGCCCGCTGGAGAGCGCAGGCTCAGGTCAGCTGGGGAGTGCAGCCAAGAGGGGCACTAGGCATACTAAGTTCATGGATAGGAGGACTCAACATAGCTAATACACCAATATGCTCGACATCGTGGCCATTTGGAAAGTGAAAGAGCAAGTGAAAGATCTCTCTCACATCTCTTCTTTCTCTCTCTCTTCTTTCTCTCTGTATTTCTGCCTTTCAAACAGAATTAAATGCTGAAAAATTAGATATATATGAATATATGAGTATATATATATATATATACCCTGTAGATAAGCAGCAAAAATGTATAACCTCAATCAATTCATGCAAAAACATCAGATAATGAGACATCTACGGAACTGGTCAAACTTTCCAGCCTGAGTATACCACACATTACATTACCACCAGCATTGTATAAGCAATCCACTTTCTCTGCATCCTTGCCAACTCTTTTAAAAATATTTTTTTTTTTTATTGTACAATCAGATTTACAAAGAGAAGGAGAGATAGAGATATTCTACCTGCTGGTTCACTCCCCAAATGGCTCTAACAGGATCAGCTGAGCTGATCCTAAGCCCAAAGCCAGGAGCCTCTTTCAGGTCTCCCACATGGGTGCAGGGTCCCAAGGCTTTGAGCCGTCCTCCACTGCTTTCCCAGGCCACAAGCAGGGATCTGGATGGGAAATGGAGCATCCAGGATACAAACCAATGTCCAAATGGGATCCTGATGCATGCAAGGCAAGAACTTTAGCCACTAGGCTAATGCACTGTGCCCAAAAATTTGGTTTTGTCACTTTTAAAAAATGTAGCAATCCAGATAACTGCTATTTCAGTGGGCTTTAATTTGCATTTACCCTCCAGTTGATCGTGTGGAACATCTTTTCAGTGCTTCTTTGCCATCTTGGCATCCCCTTCAGTGAAATATCACTCCATGCCATCTAGACAGTTTTTAAAATTGATTTTGATTTTCTGCAGTTGAATTTTAAAAAGGGCAAAGTTACAAAGAGAAGGAGAAACAAAGAGATATTATATCCATTGGTCCACTCTCCAAAGCGGTGTAATATCCAGGGCTGGGCCAGACCCAAGCCAGGCTCTTAGAAGTCCAACGATGTCTGCCATGTGGCTGTACGTGTGAGTGCTCCCACGTGGGAGCCATCTTCCACTTTAGGGAGCTAGCTCACAAGTGGCACCAACATCCAACGTGGGACGCTGCCATTGCCGGCTCAGAGCATCGTCTGTGCGTTCTAGGAACTTGATCTTTTCTCTACGTCTATTATAGCCTTACTTGCAATCCTCCCAACAGGTTCTTTGGCAGAGCAAAAGTTTTATATTTTGATAAAGTCTAACAAATTTTTTGTTTTATAATTTTTGTTTTCCAGTATAAATCTAAAAACTTATTGCTTAGTTTTGAAGATTTTCTCCTGTGTTTTTTCTTGAAGATTTTAGTTTTACATTGTACATTTAGACAGTGATCCATTTTGATTTAGTTTTTGCACCAGATATAAGGATCAGGCTGAGCTTTAATTTTTTTAATATAAATTTCCCATTATCCTACTTTTCTAAGGCGCCTCAGCCAGTGAGTGATTCATTCAGACTCTGGCCATGAAGTGCCAGCTCGTTCTACTGTGCAATTGAGAATGGGAATCACTGATTTAGACTTCACTTATGTGACTAAAGAAAAACTATCACTGGCAGGGATGGTGGCTCAGTAAGCCAATCATGGACCCTGCAGCATCACCATTCCACAAGGGCACCTGCTCCTGTCCCAGCTTGCTCCACTTCTGATTATAGCTCCTTGCTATGCCTTAAGAAAGCTGCAGAAGATGGCTCCAGTCTTGGGAGCCTTCACCCACATCGTAGACCCCGAGGACGCTCCTGAGTCCTGGCTCCTAGCTTCAGATGAGCTCAGTACCGGCCATTGCGGCCACTGAGGGAGTGAACCAGCGGATGGAAGACCTTTCTTTCTGTCTCTCCTGTCTCGGTAAAAGCTTCCTTCAAATAAAAATGAATAAATTTTTTCTTACAGTAATAACTATGACCGTTACCTGTGACGTATTTCCCAGAAGGCTCTCACGTTCTGCTTTGCTTCTCCCTCTAAGCAGCCCAGTCCCCAGCAATAAGAAGTGCTCAGAAAGACGACATGAGTGAAGCTAGAGCAAGGGGACCAGGTCTGAGCTCTCAGGGAGATTAGACGAGCTCTCGCTTCTGTTTTCCTAAGCCTTCGTCCCTCTGAAATGATTCCCTTTTGCTGCTCTAAGGTTTATACAGGACACCTGTTTCCTAACATCCTGAGTCAGTGCAGCTGAGGTAACAGGAATCCTTGTCCACCATGACAGTTTTGGGCAAGCTTTCCAGGCAAAAATCTTCCTCTTTCCTGGAAGAACCTCTCTATCGGGGCGCCCCTCATCCACATCCTTCAATAGTTTTTTCACATCAGAAAAGGCAGCACATTCTTTATTTTCTTCACCTTGTCCCTGCTTCCTATTTGCTGCAATGCCTGTCTTCTCTGCGGAGCACAAAGGGTACAGGCACTGGAGCTGGCCACCTCTGTGTCAAATCCCAATTCTCCCATTGACTAAACGTACAAGGAAATCACGGAGGCGTGTGAAGTTACAGGATTTATGAGGCTAACAGGTGACGGAGCCGACATACCTGCACAGAGCGTCCTGGTCTCAATGTCTTTGATTTCCACCCACTTTCCCTTTGCTTTCTCTCTGTGTACACTTCTGTAAGATAACGTCAGGAGAGTATATTTGCCTGCAGATCTGCTTGAAACCAACATTTTCAAGATAGGACTTGAAAGAGACTCAACTGAAGAAATGTCGAATTTAAAAAGTGTCTTTCCTCTTCTCCTTTGTCCTCCCTGTCTTCTCCCTTTGGCTTAGTGGAGGTGTGTTTCTCTGCTAACATTTTTGTCCCCAAAACTGTATCATCAACCAAGTAACACCAAACCACCATGCTCATCCTCGTGCCAGACACGGTGAAGATGTCCAGGCACTGCCATCAGCCAGGAGAAGACATGCACCCCCATAAATACCCACCCAGGAGTGTGTGGGGCCCGGGGCAGAGAAGAGAGGTCTGGGAAGGTCTGGGAGACCTCCCCACCCCACTGCGCCATCTGAATGCTGATGAAAGCACCGGCCTGGCGGAGGAAGAACTGGAAACGGTGCTGGCATTGGGGAAACATGCCAACGAAGTCAGAGAGGAGGCTGCAACACACAGGCTGTGAAGACGCTGCTGTCTCCAGTCCAAGAAGTGGTGAGAAAGAGGGTTGACCAACTGTGAGGTGGGGCCTAAGTATGCTGGATCAGGACAAACAAGCAGCACAAAGTGGCTGGCACCTGATAACCCCTGGGAGCCAACAAGGCTTTTGAGGTGGGAGAGGAAACACTGTGAACTTGATATTTAAGCCAGTTGTAGATATTTGCAAATTGCTTTAGCCCTAATTCATTGCTCGTTAACAATCACAATTAGTTCTGTTAAAAAAAAAATGCAGAAAACATACAAGGATCCCAGTAACAGTGCAGTGAGCAGTATCATGCAGGATACAAATTAGAAAATGTGATTTGACACAAAGAGATGTCAAACAGTTGGGGTAGCTACAAACAACCATGAGTACAAAGAGGAAATTACATGATCTCACTGGTGTGGAAAATACCCTAAGCCAAGGATCTTTCAAAATGTTACTGAGTGCGTTTTCTGCAATGACTACCAGAAAAACCCATGCTTGCAAGCCTGTACTCAGTATTAAGCTCACAAGCTGCTATCAACATGCACTCTGCTATTCTCCTGTCCTTACCTCCCCCACCACACGCAGAACTACACGGTGCTCCCCAAGACCAGAAGATGAGATAAATAACAAAAGGCGTGATGAGACTCTGCTACTCTTTAGAATATTTATTTTTGATGATGTATCTTTCCAGATTTTTCTGTGGATATTTGCAGATAAACTCCCAAATGGAGTGTAATTTTTTTCTCTTTTTAAAAATATTTATTGAAGCGGCACAGAGAGATCTCCCATCTGTTAGTTCACTCCCCAGATGCTCACCATGGCCAGGCAGAAGCCAGGAGGAAGGAATGACACGAGTCTCCCAGGTGAGTGACAGGTACCCAAAGCGTGTGAGCCATCCCCTGCTGCCTCCCAGAGCTCACATGATCAGAAAGCCACAATGAGGCTAACCCTCACGCAAGACGCAGATGTTCCCAGCGGCATCCAACCACTACACTGAACAGCCACCCCTAGTTCTCTTCCCTTCTCGAGGGATGCGAGGACAGATGCTTAGGAGGTTTAGAAAACTTTTACAAACACACATAAGATGTCCTATCCATACATTCACATTTTAATCCCAAGCCCTGGCAAAGTATTTTCACCATCTTAACTTATATTTGAGACCCAAACTATGGGCTGCATTCTAATTCCTACTTACCCGCGAGCAAACATGGAATCAAGGCACCGAAGAACCACATGACGAGACTTGTCCAAACGTCTTCTAAAACCACAGTAAGAGTCTGTTCAGCAGACCCAGTTTGATCCGGGACATCAAGTCCTCCCAGGATGAAGTGCTCTGTTCATCTCAGCCATCTTGTTTCAGAATGTACGTGTCCAAGCCGAGGTCTGAGTCCCAGAGAAACCTCAACTGTTCTGGGAAGAGAAGCTGGCCCAGACAGCTCAGAAGGGGCGGGCTCTGCTGCACCCTCCTCTTGCCAGGTGCAAACCCACATATTGCATCAGGGGGCGTGGCTGCAGAGTTCCAGAGAAACTCAGGGGAGATTTAGAATCTGCCTGGAGGAGATACCAGAGCCACAGACTGTCTTTGGGGGACCCAGAATATTCCTAGAGCCAGTGCTAGCAGGTCACCCGAGCTGGGTGCTGAGCATCTGTTTCTGCCAAGACTTCAGAAAAAGCAGAGCTCTTACAAAGAGTACCCTTGTAAAATTGAAGAAATTAAGGACATGGATTTCAAACTTGCTTGCATTTTGAAAACAGATTTGGAAGGAAATATGAGAAACTCGCAAGATTGATTACCCTGGGGCAGAGGGAGTGGGACCTGGGAAGAAAGAGGAGAAAAATGAAAACAAGACTTCTTTCCTTTTATGGATTTTTTTTTCTACTTTTATATTTTTGATGGCATTGGATTACTGAGCCAGGTGAACGTATTACTGAGAAATTCAACCCAATTTTTAAAATACTGAAATAAAACATTAAGAGTTTTGATCCTTACAGTTTAGCTTTGTAAGAACATAAACACCCTAATGTGCAAATGCAGTAGTGGATAAATGTGTTTTTTGATTTTGTTTTTTGAAAGGAAGATTTACATAGAAAGGAACACAGACAGAGGTCTTCCACCTGCTAGTTTGCTCCCCAGATGGCCACAATGACCAGAGTTGAGCAGATGGATCCAAAGCCAGGAGCCAGAAACTTCTTCCGGGTCTCCAACAGTGGGTGCTGGGGTCCAAGGACTTGAGCCGTCCTTTAGTGCTTTCCCAGGTCACAAGCAGGGAGCTGGATGGGAAGTGGGGCCGCTAGAATTAGAATCAGCACCCATATGGGATCCCGGCATGTTAAAGGCAAGAACATTGGCTGTTCGGCCACTGTGCCAGGCTCAAGCCAGGCACTCTGATACGGCATGTGGCAGCAACTTGAACACTGTGTAAATGTCTGTCCCGAGCATGAGTTTCTGAATCCTTTTCAAGCTCTGGTCTAAGAACTATCTGCCTTTGTCTGGGCCATGTCATTGAGGGTTGTGTCTGTCACCTGCCAGCCCCTACTCCTATTTGGGTCCTCTTGGCTTTCTCTTGGTTTTGAGATACCCTTTCAATACCACCTCATCACTATCTCTACAAGCCCAAACCAACAGGCCCTCCTCCCGTGGCACTTCTCTAGCTAATTTTCACTGTCTGAGTTGGAGATCATCCATGTCTAAAGATGAATTGCTGAAACACTGAATCTACTTTTTACTGTACAAAAATGGAATGTTGGCCCTATTAATTGCCACTCAAACATCTGCTATTTAATCATAAAAACAAGCAAACAAAAGGCTTCATGGAGAGGCAGAAAAAGCAATTGAGGAAATGGAAGTTTGTTGGCCAAGGAGGATAATGCCCTGAACCCTAAGAGGGCACTCTTCAGGGCCAGATCTAGAATGAATGTAAGGTGGGCTTGGTGCCATAGCCTAGTGGCTATAGTCCTCACCTTGCATGCACTGGGATACCATGTGGGCACTGGTTTGTGTCCCGGCTGCTCCACTTCCCAACCAGCTCCCTGCTTGTGGCCTGGGAAAGCAGTAGAGAATGGCCTAAAGCCTTGGGACCCTGCACCCATGGGAGACCCGAAAGAGGCTGTTGGAAGAGGCTTCTGGTTCCTGGCTTTGGATCGGGCTCAGCTCTGGCCACTGTGGCCACCAAGGGGAGTGAACCCGGGATGGAAGATCTTTCTCTTTCTGTAAATCTGCCTTTCCAAGAAAAATAAATTCATTTTTACAAAAATGAAAACAAAATTTTACAAAAACGAACCCAGGTCGCAACGCTTTCAGGGTTGTAGAGCCCTGGACAAGCCCTGGCATGAACACAGAGCTGTTACATTGTCTTAATGCTCTTTTGCCCTGTTTAACAAGAGTCCCTTCTGCTTGCAGATTCCTAAATCTTGTATGACCTGTTTAGGCTCACTTATATTTAGTTGTAACATTCCCACACCCCCTGGAAGTAACAAGGAGTAAACAGCTGGATTCCTCTGGCCTTAACTCTGTTGCTTCCAAGCCTCTCCGGCTGAGAGTTCCACACACTTTCAAGTTCTAAAATTTTCAAGTCCTGCCTCTCTTTTTACCTCTTTTGGACACACTTTAGTTTCCAATTTCCTCCCTAATGTTTATCTGTTCGGCCATGAGGAATTTAACCTCCTTTGACCTCAATTCTTTCCTTTGGGTGTGACCAATTAAAACGCTTAATTCTGCCAAACTATTCTCCTGCAGTTATAACTGAATTTTTCTTTCCCACATAACATCCCCCAACAACCTCCCTTAACAGGAAATCCAGACTTCATTCAGAATAGCCCTTGGGTCCACATTTTAAAAAAGCAAATGCCATTTCAATTTTAAAATTTGAAAACCAGAAACAGTGTTTCAGAATAGTGAGACGAGTTAAATTCTCCAATGATTTTGGTTGTTGGATCACTGCTTAATCCTACTCATCTGTGACTAATAATGCAGTGTACGCCGTGCTCAAAGGTCAGTTGATCAGTTTTTCTGAGTCATCCCATACAAACTGGCAATCTCACTTTGATTTTCCAATTCATCAATTCACTTTTAAATTCAGAACTTTTCTCCATTAGGCATTATAGCAATACAAGTTCTATGAAAGCATCGTCCATCTTCATTGTTTGTTAGAACAGACTGGCACCTGAGCAAATATTGAAGGTGAAGTGCTGATAAGGATGATAAACACCTCCAAAAGCCACTTAAACACACTGACCCAATCCTATACTGAGACAGTTTTAAAAACTTAGCAAAACAAGCTTGCCTAAAACTGTTCCATGCATCTTTTTGTAAGTTTTAAAGGCAGAGATACACAGGGAGAGAAAAAACTCTTTCTGTAACTCTCTCCAAATGCCTGCAACACTCCAGGCGGAGCCTGACACAGCCAGCAGTCCAGAACTACCCAGGCCTCCCCTGTGGACGGCAGGACCCAGGCCCTGGAGCCCTCCTCCATCTCCTGCCAGGAGGCGACAGCAGCGAGCTGGATCAGAGGTGGAGCAGCTGGCGCTCAGGCCTGCACTCCAACCTGAGAGGCTGGCATCCCAAGCAGCAGCACGTCCTCTGTACCCCAAACCACTGCGGGTACTTCATCTTTTTTTCAAATGGTAGATGTTGCTCAGAATATGAAATCAGATTATTACACCACACGCCATTTAAGGAAAAAGTGACTGTCATCAGGAGACCATTTAGAAATAGCAGGAAGGCCCATATAGATGAAGTATTACAAAGGATGCTTTCATTTTCAAATGTAGGAGGTAAAATACGTATAATGCTACGCTACTCATTTATTGGAAATGCATCTGAAATGTTTCTAAAAATGAGAATGTTTGCTTTCTAAACCAAATTCTCCACATTGCAGGAAAAGTGAAGAGAAGCAGTAGCTTTTAGAGACATGAATCCAGAGAAATAGGACAGGAAAGTCTTTATTATTACACTGTTGAATTAATTTTGTCTGTGCATTTTTTAAAAAGATTTTTACTGGAAAGGCAGATATACAGAGAGGAAAAACGGAGGGAAAGATCTTCCATTTGCTGGTTCATTCCCCAAGTAGCCGCAACAGCCAGAACTGCGCTGATCCAAAGGCAGGAGCCAGGAGCTTCTTCCGGTTCTCCCATGTGGGTGCAGGGTCCCAAAGCTTTGGGTCCTCTACTGCTTTCCCACAGGCAGGGAGCTGGATGGGAAGTGGGGCTGCTGGGACTAGAACTGCGCCCATATGGGATCCCGGCTCGTGCAAGGTGAGGATTTTAGCTCCTAGGCTACTGAGCCAGGCCTCCAATGTGCATCTTTAAAATGCCCTCTACCTACTAGGTTCTGGCTGATCATTTCAACTTCTTTGTTGTCAACCTTTCATTTTTAAAGAGAAACTAGAGCTCTGATTTTTACATAACTCTTCCAATTTTTAAACATCAACAATTTCAACTCTTCTGAACAAGGAATCCCAACACCCTCACCAATGAGAACGGGGTAAAAGCCAGGCCTGCATGGAGAAGCGGTACCTTGTCCTAACTCTCAGAGGTGGTGACCATCGACAGGTCACCTACGCCTCCGCAGAGATGACTCTTCCGGCCACCAGCTGCACATTTGCTACGACTTTTCTTTTTTTCTAGCCATGACAACAGACAGTACTTGGTCTTCTTGTTTTATTTAATAATACAGCTTTGAAATGCTTTAACAGGGTTAAGTATATAATGCTAGCTTTAACGGTGTGGTGATGTGTGTACTTAAAGATGTGGATATATATTCAACTGAACCCGAAGGATTTATGATCAAATAAAAGTCTATAGTAACTGATGCAGTGGGCCGACTGGGCGGGATTACATGCGCTGTGTGTACACAAACGAGACGGCCAAGCACTTCTTCCCATGTGGGAAAAACTTCCCAACACGGCCTTCCCAGGCCCTCTTCCTAACCTAAGACAAGCACAGGGATGGCTTTGTGTCATGATCTAGAGCACCACAGTGGCAAACAAGCAAACCTGATCTTTAACACAAGTCCTGCAATAAGATTGTACCAATTCTTAATATCAGCTTGGGGTTTGCTATAAATAATTCATGTCTGTGATTCTACATAATAATGGCCTTAAAAATCCATTATTTTCGCTGGGGTAGAATACAAAGAGAACAAAATTAAATTAATCAAGTGAATGTTGAAAGTTAAAATGGAATCATGTTGACTATTCATTTTACACTTTCCTCAATTTATGTTTATGATGCCTACAGCAACAAAAATTCAAGCACACTTGACATTTATTTACATTAAACAAATCCACTAAATAAAAAACAAAGGGGCACTGGGTGAGAAAGACAGTAAAATGTGAACTAAAAGGCTCTAAAAACCAAATAAATAAAAATTTGTCTATTGATGTCTTATTTGTATCTGTTGACTTCTGTTACTCAATAGAAGAAACCAGGGCTGCCACCCAGTGGCAACATAAATCTTTGATTTTCAGATTTAAATAAGAAAAAAAAAATGTTTTAAACAATTAAGTGAAAAAGAAAAACCTAATAAATTTTACAATTTTGGTTTCACAATTAGTAACCCCCGTGCACTAAATGCTTACAACAGCAAAAGTGCAAATACATGTGTAGGTAGGACTACAAGATTTCTGAAAACTTACGACCCTACTGCTTAGTAAACTATTTTGTTTTAGTTGTTACTTTCAACTAAAACAACGGTAGTTACTTGCTTAAATTTCAATCTACAGAACTACTAATGGAAGGAAAAGCTGTGACCATAAAACACATCTAGTCTTCTTCTGTGGCCTACAGAAGTATACGGAATACTTTTTAATAGTCGGTCACCCTTATACCCAATATGCTCCCTGCTAAATAAAAACATAAGACTTGAAAAGTAGAAAAAAATTCATCCTAATCATGAGCACATTCCACTCAGACATACAACAATTTTAGTGTCACATTCAACAAAAGTAGGAAATAAAAAAAGGCAACACTATCCTAAGAATTAGATGTTCAGGGAGAAACACTTTCCAAGGGTCATAGTGTCTCCCACTTCCCTAAAAGTCAGCATAATTTATTTCACTCTTGTATAAATATAACGTCCTAATACAAGATGCTTTGGTAAAATAACATTATGGAAGAAATAACAGTATAGCAAATGTTTTAAAACAAAATATTTCAGATTAATCGATTCTCTTGAATAGTGACATAAGAGAAAAAGCATTCCCCCAAATTAAGAATTTAGTGATTTCTGGTTTGAACAGACATAAAATTGCACAAGATGTTTTCTAACTTATAGCCCATTTGTTTTGTAGCACATTAAAGACAATGAATTCATTTTTAAAAAATAATGATAGATACAACTTTTTACTTGAAATTTACACTGGCTTGTAACAAATACCTAAAATAATGATTTCTAACTTTCCATTTATTATTGCTATTTAGCCACAGAAAAGATTAACATTCTCCCAAGAAATTTATTTTAGCATATGATTTATATCTATATATATACATGCACATATCCATGTGTACATATGTGTGTGTATATATATATATATATAGATACAGATATGAAGAGAAAACACAGCAAAACAGGGTGCCTTTATAAGGAAATTAACAAATGGCAGTAAAGGAATTTTTCCATATAAAGACTTCTGATCTATATTATTTAATTTTTTTTCAAATACAAAACCCTTACAAAGCAAAAGGGAAAAAGCAAGACAGAAAATAATAGATCAAAGGAACTGTTCTATGTGAATGCACTGCATACATAGTATATGTGTATGAGCTGAGTTATAATAAAAATACTTATGTATATCAGTTTCTCGCGCAGTTAGAAACAGCAATTCCAATCAAGTATGACTGGACCAACACGTTCTCAGTCTTCAATTACATGATGAATTAAAGCTGTATGGCAGTCACTTCTGAGCAGCAGTATCATGATAAATGCTTGATAAGATACAATTTTTCTCCTTGTTCACTTGTAAAAATTGGTGCCTTTTTATAATGTTCTACAAGTTCTTCCATGGTGCTGAATTTACGCTGCCCAATGCAGTAGACAGTCTCTTTGAGCTGGACTTTAAAATGCTTGTTCTTCCCTTGTGCTTTTAGTGACACGGAGAAATCATTTGGCTAAAAGAGAAAAACGCACACCCTCTGAAAGCCATCTTTCAGCATCTTTGTACTAAACTAGTAACATAAGATGTCATTACTTACTAAAGTATTAAGAACCACACAAAAATATACATGTTAAATTATTTATCTCCTTTGCTCTTCAAAACAATTCGTTTTTAAAGAGCAAAAACCTAAAGCTCAGAGACACTAACTTGCCCAACAGAGCCTATACTAAAACCCATGTAGTCAAGAATCTCCCCATTTATGGCACCCACAGAATATTAATGCAAAATCTTTAGTTTACTAGCAGAAGCACAACAGCTACCTTCTCTTCAGATTAAAAAAAAAAACTAAGATATCCAGCCCAGATCTTTTTCATCTGTTGTTAACAGCAGTCGACTTGAATATTCTGAAATTGCAAAAATGTAGGAAACACATATGAGAATTACAACTCTGAGTTTGGCCACAAGCCAAACTCAAATGCCTCCCAGGGTCAAAACAGTGACATAAATAAGAGTGTGGGAGTAGATGGACAGCGAGTGCATAGTAATTAAAAACACGTGGCTGGAACACATCCTCAATGCCGCAATTTCATTTTACTTTTCATTTATTTTACACACACATACACAGGGGTTAGGCACACGTGCATCCGCTGGTTTTGCTCCCTGCAAATGTTTACAATGGCTAGAGCTGGGCCGGGGCAGATGAGGCAGATCTCAATACAGGTGTCTCATCCAGGCGGCAGGAACTCAATTACCTGAGCCATCACCACATCTAACAGACCCTGCATTAGCAAGAAGCCATAATCAAGAGCTGGAACTGACCACTGTACTTAGTACTCCACTGTGGGATGATGCAGGAGTCTTAACTGCCAGGCTAAACATCTACTCCCAAGATCTTCCAATTTAAATTTAAAGTCTGGAGTTTTATTATAAATCTATCAACATTTAAACGTGGGCAAATGTTTTAGACACTTTGCAGGCCAAATATGTTTTTCAGACTTTGGCCTTAAAAACAGCACTGCTCGAGGTTGGTGTTGTGGTGCAGTAGGTGAGAACATCACATGCAATACCGGCTTCCCTTATGAGTGAGCATCAGCTGCTCCATTTCCCATCTGGCTCCCTGCAGATGCTCCTGGGAAGGCAGCAGAAAACGGCCCTGGCTTGGGAGCCTGCCACACACATTGGAAAACGAGATGGAGCTTCAGGCTCCTGGCTTCAGCCTGGCCCAGCCCTGGTCATTACAGCCACTTGGTAAGTCAAACAGTGGGTGGACATGCCCAAACTCCCTCTCATGCTGCCTTTCAAATAAACAATTAAAAATTATATCACTGGAAGTAATTTTGGCTGATCTATGCTCAAATACACAGGAATAAAGAAATAGAGTGTTTTGCAAGCTCCTCTTCTTTTTTCAGTCTAACACTCTTCTGAACAGTACGCACCAGCACCAGAAGGTTCTGTTGCACCACTTCCCCAAGTCTCAGTCTGCCACATCAGGCATTCTTGGTTCAACAAAGCACTCATACCAATCACTTGCTTTTTCTACGAGGTATCTTAATGAACTTCACTCACATAAATAAGTTAAATTAACCTTTCCCTCTCACTTCTCTCCTTCTTCATTTTATTCTTATTTTCAATCTCAAACAGTTAGACATTCATTTTTATATAACTACATTCATACAAAGCCAATACAAATCATTATTTGATAAGTGGAAAAGCAGCAGTGACATTCTGTTTCAAGGAAAAAGTCCTTTGTTAGGAAAAATAAGTGTTATCAAATTCTAGTATCTTAGAACCAAAAGAATCTACATAAACTATGTTCTTCAGTTTTCATAGTTTTATAGCTTTACTATGTATTGTAATAATACTTTTCCTTTTATTGTAAAAGCATTTCAAACAGTGTTAAAACATGTTTTTGAGCAGTGCAAGATAAATGTATTCCAAATTCTAAACAACCAATTTCTGAAGAAACTTAATTATCATTTTTTAAGTTCAGCAAACATCCTACACATTCTAAGGACTACGGTGATTATGTTGCTAAGCACTGCAACCAGTAACAATTTAGGAAATGCTTTCCCAATTTAATCTACTGTGCCATTCTATTCTCAGCAAAGAAAGCAAGTTTAATTTTCCCCCTTTTTCAGTTTAAAGCAAGAGAAAATATCCTAGGTATGTGAAATCAACAGAACTAGTAAAAGCCAAATACTCCATGTTGGCATACCTGCAACAACCATCCTTTCCTAACAGATTAAGTGGAACACAAACTGACTTTGGCTTCAGAAAATTCACATTTATGTCCAAGCCTACACCTTTGGGAAGACACCGCACCTCTACCCAACCTATTTTTTAAATACTCAGATTTCATTTCCAAACACCTTAGAAAATCGACTTACCGAAGATTCACTATCACGAATGAGGAAATCTCCTTCATGTCCTCTTTCATTTAATGCCATTTCTGCTTGATGCCTGGTGACTTTGCCATAATACCAAGGGTTGCCAGCAAATTTTCCAGTGAGTGAAGGCCGAATATAATCACACTGCGGAGGCGATGGTTCCAGATTTGAGGTTAACGGATTATTCTGCATGATGGTAACATAGTTTTTTGGCACCAGACCAACCATTCCATTCATCTTCCTGCACTTCCACCATTCTGGGTCATTTTCAGGCTTTTCAATAACATCCATTACATCTCCTTTCTCAAAATTGAGTTCTTCATCATTGGACGAGCTGAATGGGTAAAGAGCCTGTACCACATGCAACACTTGTCCAGTGTTTAAGTTATTGACGACTGCTGCTAATTTCTCTGATAGAGAACCCACATGGTCACCCAAAGGACTGTCACCTTCTTCAGTTACATAGTTCGAAGGAAACCAACCAATTTGCCCATTGTAGCTACCCCGCCACCACCCATCGCTGCATTTCTCCATGACGATCACCTTCGTCCCTTTTATCAATGATAATTCATCCTCTCTCTCAGCCATGTAGTTAAATTTCACGTAAGCAGGCATGTTGAGGTCATAGAGACGCTCCCCAGGGTCGACAAAGCTCTCATCAGCAGGAGATGCAGAATCCGGCACACTGGGTTTCCTTTTCACTTTTCCAATGCCTGTTGACATCAAAGGGGGTAATGAGAAAATGACATAAAGCAATGACTAACCCCAAAAATCAATTTATTGAACAAAGAGCTTCGATGCAATATACCTTTTTTAATTTTTAGGCTTAGATAATAAGTCTATGTGCCAGAATCATTATTTTAGAAAATCAGATACACATTCTAGATTTTAGTTATGAGTTTACCTTCTCATCTTTTTCTCTCATCAAAGGCCCTAACTACTTAGTTTTCCCAATATAGTTATTTTTTTCTTAACTGTAAATAAAGATTTCTCTCTTAGTTACAACCTAAGCACATGAAGGTTCCATTAGACCATTACTCCTCGTGTTTTAATTTATTAACTTGGATTCTATAATAGCTGAAAAGAATATGATAATTAGTCATAGACATGCAATGGAAAATTGTAGTTTTGTACATTTGGGAATGCTTTCCCTTTGGTTCCCTGGATCCAAGCTAGCTATTTATCGCATGTGCATATTTTTAAAAACCAGATCATTTCTCTGTTTTCTCTCAACCCATTCACATGTAACCTCTCTGAGGGCAGGAGACAATCCCAAGGACCTTCATGCTTAGCACACAAGAGTGCTTAATACATTTTTGTCAAATGAAATGGAAAAAAAATTAAATAACACTATTAACACCAAGTGTATGCCTTGTCATCTTTAGTCAGGCATTTTCACTGCTGTCTCCATGGCTTTGTACGCTACCAAGAAAACTATCCTAGGCAGAACTTCACAAATTCCTTCCCATTGTCTTAAAACTTTCTCATTAGACTAACTCTATTCGTTTAATACCTTAACCCCTGATCTTTCTAGGGTCTTAACAGCATTTTTTTTTCTGATTTTTGGGATTATTCTACATATTTATTTCCTTCTTACTCAGTCTCTTTAATTGCCAAACATATATATATATATAAAGTAGAAGATAGATATGTGTGTGTGTGTTTATACACATATATCTATATTCTACTTTAAAATAAAGTTGCTTTAACTTGACCTATTCCTTAAATGTTGCCTTCTACTTTTTCATCAGTCACACCCTCAGCTCCTTCTAATCTGACCTTCTGTTTCCACCTATTTATTAAAACTATTTAATTAAAACCATTTTAACACAACTGTGTCATCTCCTTAACTGCCAAATCAGCACCTTTTAGGTCCCTCAGCCTTCTCATCCTAGATGACCCTCTGTTAGCTTTTCCTCCTTTTAACTCCCTGAGTCTCCATTCCCCCTCCTTCCCTGATTACACATTCCTTGGTGCTTTTTTCTGGGATCCTTTAAACCGTTGCAAGTCAGTGGTGCCTGTGAAGAAAGCAACCTGGACTCCAAATGTCAGGTGCAGCAATGCAGCTCTTAGTTATCAAACTGTAACTAAGATTTAAACTCCTCTGGCAGGGCTCCTTCAAAGATCAGCACAATGGTTTGCCTTGGCTTCTCCTGACCTAGAACATTCTCAAGACTATGGGATCTTCCCGGGTGGCTTTTGCCAAAATCATTTATTTCATCCAGCAGCCTGGAGCAAGGGACAACAAACAGGACAATGAACATAAAGATTAAAATGCCTGGGAAGGGCCCGGCGCGGTGGCGCAGTGGTTAAGGTCCTCGCCTTGAACGCGCCCAGGAATCCCATATGGGCGCCAGTTCTATCCCGGCAGCCCCACTTCCCATCCAGCTCCCTGCCTGTGGCCTGGGAAAGCAGTCGAGGACAGCCCAAAGCTTTGGGACCCTGCACCCACGTGGGAGACCTGGAAGAGGCCCCTGGCTTCGGATTGGCATAGTATCGGCCGTTGCGCTCACTTGGGGAGTGAATCATCAGACGGAAGATCTTCCTCTCTGTCTCTCCTCTCTGTATATCCGCCTTTCCAATAAAAAATAATAAAAATAAGATCCACAGCCCTGCTGACATGCCTGGGAATGCCGAGGACAGCCCGAGGACCTGGGCCTCTGCCACCCACACGGGAGACCTGGATGGAGTCCTGGTCTCAGCTCCCCCGCAGCCCTACAAGTTGCAGCCATTTGGGGAGTGGATCAGTAGATGGATGGCTCTCCCCCTCCGTGTGTGTGTGTGTGTGTGTGTGTGTGTGTGTGTGTGTGTGTAAGAGAAAGAGAGACTGACTCTGCTTTTCAGAGAAATAAATAATAAAGCCTGGGAAAGAAGAGGAAGAGCTAGGATCTACATAAATAAACTTAAGACTTCTTAAAGTTCCCATACATACCAGGGAATCAACCTGGGTACACAAATACCCAGAGCTTGCCACATCTCTGGAAAGCTGTTAGGAGAAACTAAGCTGACCTTTCAGGTTCTAACCAAACAGCAAAGAAAGAGCATGGCAGAACTGTAAATGGCTTGACAGTAATCAACAAGTACCCCAACACAGAGCCAATCTGCAAAGACAGGAAAAATATGATTTTTGTTCAAAACTGTCAGAAACACAGCTGACTAAACTATACAGAACACAAAACTCAAAGGCTTCACATGAAGTATATCGCCCTCACAAAAACAGCTTAGAACCAATTGCTAGGAGCCAGCTTTGTAGCACAGTGGGTTAAGAGCTGTTTGTAATGCCAGCATCCTGTATCAGAGTACTGGTTTTAGTCCTGCCTGCTTTACTTCTGATCCAGCTACCTGTTAACACAGCTGGGAAAGCAACAGAGGACAGCCGAAGTCCTTGGACCCCTATCAACCATGTGGGAAACATGGATGGAATTCCAGGCTCCTGGTTTCTGCCTTGGACACACTGGCTGTTGCAGCCATCTGGAAAATGAACTGGCAGGCAGATCTGTCTCTCCCTGTTTTATCACTCAGTCTTTCAAAATAATTCTATTAATCCCTTACTCCAGCCTGGTCTAAGAGAGAAGCTGCTAAGCAGGCAAATAAATGCCACTAAGACAACAAACCACCATAAAAACAGAACTCAACTATAAGACTTGAACAACGTTATGAACAAACTATATCTAACATATCCAATCTGACATACCCAAACAACATTCTGCAGGACAGAGCATAATACTGTGCAACAAAACAAATCTTAATAAACTTTACACTCATAAAAAAAAATAACGTGTCTGATCACAATGGAACAGAAATAACAGAACACTAGAAAATTTAGAAATGTATGGAAAGTAATCAACATAGTGGCTCACAGAAGCACAGGGATAGTGAGACACTTGTCAGCACAACACACACCTATGAAGGAGCAGACAAAGCAGTGGGCAGGGGCATCTAAGAGCCTGTATTCACAAAGATAACTCTGGGCAAGCGCCATGGCAAAGCAGGCTAAGCCTTGGCCTGCGCTGTCCCAAAATGGGTACCAGATCTGGTTCCCACTGCCATCACTTCTGATTCAGCTCCTTGCTCGAACCCTTGGAAAGTAGCAGAGGAGGCTCAAACCCTCAGGCCCCTACACCCACATGGAAGACACAGATGCAGTTCCCAGCTCCCCGCTTCGGAACAACCCAGCTCCAGCAGCTCTAGTGATCCAAGGACTGAATCAAGAGATAAAGGACTTCTCTTTCTCCTCTCTGTAAATTTACTTTCAAACAAAAATTAAATATTAAAAAAAACTGCCACAAACCAATAATTTACAATTTATAGTATAAGAAAAGAAAATTGGGCCCAGTGGCGTGGCCTAGTGGCTAAAGTCCTCGCCTTGAACACGCTGCCGGGATCCCATATGGGTGCCGGTTCTACCCCGGTGGCCCCACTTCCCATCCAGCTCCCTGCCTGTGGCCTGGGAAAGCAGTCGAGGACAGCCCAAAGCTTTGGGACCCTGCACCCGTGTGGGAGACCCGGAAGAAGTTCCTGGCTTCTGGCTTTGGATCGGCATAGCGTCGGCCGTTGCGCTCACTTGGGGAGTGAATCATCGGACAGAAGATCTTCCTCTCTGTCTCTCCTCCTCTCTGAATATCTGACTTTCCAATAAAAAATCTTTAAAAAGAAAAGAAAAAGAAAATTAAAAAATGAAGTCAAGCGGCTGGAGCTATTGTATAGTAGACAAGGCCTCTGCTTGTGGCACCAGCATCTCACATGAGAGCTGGATCAAGTCTTAGCTGCTCCACTTCTGATCTAGCTTCTTACTAATGTGCCAGGTAAGGCAGCAGAGGATGGCCCAAGTGCTTGGGCCCCTGAACCAGTGTGGGAGACTGCATGAAGCTCCTGTGCTAGTTTTGATCTAGCCCAGCTCTGACAGTTGTGGCCATTTGAGGAATAAACCAATGGATGAACAAACTCACTCTCTCCTCTGTAAATCTGCTTTTTAAATGGAAACAAGTAAATCTTAAATATATAAAAACCAATGAGAAATGGTTCACATGATATAGCATGTAAAAGATACTGGCCCCAATATCAGAATCCCAAATGTGTACTGGTGAGTGTCCCAGTATGTCTAGTCTGCCCCAGCTCCCTGCAAAAATGACTGAAAAAAAGCGATGGAAGATGGCTCAAGTACACCAAAAAATTAGTTGAAAAAGATGAAAAAGATGAGCTAACAAGAAACACAAACTACCAAAACCGACACCAGAAAACAAGAGAAAATTTAAACAAAGCTGTAACAATGGGATTGAATCAATAGTCCAAAGCCTCTCGGTGGAGGAAAGCTCGAGACCCCCGGCGTCACAGGCAATTCTAGCGATCCTGAGCTGACCCTAGGGACGCTCAAGCATCTCCCAAAAGAGAGAACATTCCCTAAACAGTGCCAGGAGGCCTGTATCCACAACCGCCCCCACACAGATCTCCAACAGGAGACAGAGGAAGCTCAGTGCCCTTACCTCACAGTTCACCATAAACACCTCATCTCAAGGAGCCCTTTCAGCATCAAGCTCTTCTAATCCACTGCTTGACTTGAACTCTCTGGTCATAAAGTCATACCATGAAAACTTTAATACACAAGAACTAAGTTTAAATTTTAATTCCACTGCTAGTTTTTCAATCTTGGTTGTAAGCAAACACGGTTTACAATATGAGACAGAGCAAGCAGTCAATTTCTTTCTTTTCTTTTTTTTTTTTTTTAACATTTATTTTATTTTTATTGGAAAGGCGGATATACAGAGAGGAGGAGAGACAGAGAGGAAGATCTTCCATCCGATGATTCACTCCCCAAGTGAGCGCAACGGCCAATGCTATGCCAATCCGAAGCCAGGAGCTTCCTCCAGGTCTCCCACACGCGGGTGCAGGGTCCGTCCTCGACTGCTTTCCCAGGCCACAGGCAGGGAGCTGGAAGGGAAGTGGGGCCGCCGGGATTAGAACCGGTGCCCATATGGGATTCCCGGGCGCGTGCAAGGCAAGGACCTTAATCACTGCGCCATCGCACCAGGCCCTGTGCTTACTTCTTATAAACCAATTTATCCCTGATGGGTTTCCCCAATCTTACGACATATACATGACTGCCTGGTTTTTACCAGGAATATAAAGCTTCTACTAGAGTTAGAAGGGATTTTCCAGGATCAATTAGCCAAACCTGATTCAGCCTTGCTGAAATTCCGGCCCTGGTTCTTTCAAGTGTAGCCACTGTTGCCAAAAATCCACTTAGAAGAAAGTAACTGTTTTTAATACAAAAATCACTTACCCAGAGTATCCTTCAGGTTTTTTACAATAGATGCTTTGCGAGCGCTGTTTTTCCTTTCTACATAGTTAGAAGGCACAAAACCAGTTTTATTCATGGAGTTTCTAACTCTCCACCAGGACTTGGAATCGTCCAGAAGCCATAATCTCTCATTCTTCTTGATGTCCAGCTCTTGTTCTTGCTGAGCCACATAGTCAAATTTCGCTACCACCACCACTTCTTCTGCCATCTTTCAGCAACTTCAGCACTGGAAACACACAGCAAATGTTGATAGAGAAGGTCAGAGCAGTAGGAGAACACATGCTTTAGAAAAATGAGAGGCCCAAAAATCTAAGGACAATACAATAAGGGAAGTAAAAACAGAACATATATACTAGGAATATAGACAAGGGTTATAGTAAATAACAATCCAATGAAAAGATGTTCAACTTCACCCATACAATAAATTCTAATAGTCCCAGATCATTAAAAACTTACTACATAATTGTTAACAATTTAAAGATTTAATACACTCAACAAACACAGGCATTTCTTGATCAACTTTTTAAAATGTTAGCTTCAAGATCTAAGAGAAAACACTTGGTATATTTATCTTTCTTATTTCACTCAACAGCTTCAACTATCTGGATGTAGGTGGAGGGCCCAGGGCAGTGTGCACCATGCCCCAACACCAGAAGACCACACCCGAGACCTGCCATCAACTTGGCTATGGATGTAGTCAATGTGGCTATGAATTGTCCTAAGGGGAGCTTGGGGATGCGTGGGTGGGAGAACCACTGAAAAAGTACTTTACAGGTGAAGACTGACTTCTGGGGGACTTCCACAGACTGGACCACAGAAATTGCAGGCAAACAGGGGGCTTAGGCAAGGTGGTCCTGAAGAGGGAAGCACGAAGACACATTCAAGTCAGACCAGGACACCATGGACAGGACGGGGCTGGGCTAGCTGGCAGCAACCACAGCCCACAGACACACACCAAGATTGAGGCAGGACTAGACCACAGTACCTACCAGGGAGTGCCAGGGCAGGGGTAGGGTGTGTTAGGCTGATGCATCACACTAACTGGCATGCAAGGGAACCACATCTTGGGGCAGATTATGAGGGGAATTTGTGGGCTCACCCCTGGGGACTGCAATACCTGCTGATCTGCTAGAGTGCTGGGGGTGGTGACAGTCAAGCCAGTCATGACCATGGAACTCGCCAACTCATGAGAACTTGGGTTCAAAGTAGGACAGGTTGGCCCAAGCTGCAATAGCACCCAAGAACAAGGTGTGGAAACGGGTCAGATGCAGCATCCACCAACACTCATAATGCTGAGACTGGGGGCATGGCGGGATTATGCAGAGCAGGGCCCTAGCACCCACTGGCACACATGAGATCTGGTTCTGGGAACAGACCTGGTGAAGGAACTTAGGGAACTCCCCTCCTTAGGCTGTAAGTATGAGAGCCAGGGCTGATATGTGTGCCACACCAGGCAAGGCTGCTCCACTTCTCAGCAGATGTGTGGGCTAGCTAGGGAGGCAGACTGGGCAAGGCCACGCTAAGTTGTAGCACACACTGGCATGTGTGGGAGCCAGGACAAGGTACAGACTAAGCCAGGCTAGGTTTCAGTACCCAATTGTTTGCATGTGAGCCAGGGAAGGAGGTGGACTGAGCAGAAATAGGTTGCAGCACTCACTAGCCAGAGTTGGGTCTGCGGGCAGGCCAGGACACAGCATCTGATAGTAAAGTCAAGATGGGTCAGAGCAACCACCAGCACATGCAAGATCCATGGCTGGGAGCAGGCCTGGTTGAGGAACTAATGGGATGCCCTTGCTGGGCTATGGTTCCCACTGGTGAGCATGAGAACCTGAACTGGGAGGAAGAGGGGAGTGGGGGAAACTGAGCTGGACATGGCTGAAGCATTCTTCAGCATAGGTGTGGATTGCATCAGGGATGTGCCAGAATGGACTAAGCTCCAGCACCTGCTGGCGCTAGTGAGAGCCAGGACTGGTATCGGGCAGGCTAAGTTAGGTTTCAGCACCCACTGAGCTGGGTGTAGGGGTGGGCCAGGTGGAGCTAGAGTGTAGCACCCAAGAGCCAGAATGGGTACAGGCTGGTAGGGCAAGGTTGCTGTACCTGCTGGTGAATGCTGGGAGAGGAAGTGGGCTAAGTCATGCTGGGCCAAGCACCCATCAGTGTGTGCAAGATTTGTAACTGGGAGGTGTGCTAAAAGAGAAGCTCAGGGAACTCTTCTGTCAAGATGCAGTGCCTGCAGGTAAATGCAAGAGCTGAGGCTGGGAGCAGCCCATACCTGGCCAGGTTATATTACCCACCAGCAAACGTGTGGGTCAGGTCTGGGAGCAGGTCAGGTGGGCCAATTCATAGGACCCACTGCCAGACGTGAGAGCTAAGACGGGGTGCAGGACAGGATGGGCCAATTCATAGGACCCACTGACAGATGTGAGAGCTAAGACGGGGTGCAGGACAGGCTCACAGGACCCACTGACAGATGTGAGAGCTAAGATGGCGGGGGCAGGACAGGCTGGCTTGGGCTGGTCAAGGCTGCAGCACTTACCAGTGAATGCAAAAGTGAGGCAATACACACCACACTGGGAAGCAACACATAGCAGCACATAAAAGACTAGGGGGGCAGGGACTGTGAGCCCAGGAGTAAATTAACATACAAAAGCACCAAGTTCATGTTTCTAGCTGTATTCAAATTTGCAACTGGATGCTCTAAGCCTTGCTCCTGCATTCATGACCTGAATTCCGATCCTCTTATTTTTGCCCACATACCTGGCATGTGAAATAAGGAGCTTTTCAACCCTTGTTCCATTTCTATCTTGGGATTTAACTGCTAAAATCCTAAAAAATCCTAACTGCTGATTGTGATCCTCAAAGACTACTTGCTCTAATCTAAATAAATTAATTTCAGGGACACACACGTGGGTAGAAGTCTGGTTACAGGACTCCCCCCCCACACACACACACACCCTGGATAGAAGTTTCTTGTTATGATACAGTGCGCACGCACATACACACACCCCTGGGTAGAAGTCTGGTTACAATATTCACAAACACACACACATACACACACCACTCTCTCCCCAACACCTGGGTAGAAGTCTGGTTACAGGACTCACATCCTCCTTGCCCTACTTCCTGGAATTACTTCCTGATCTCAAATCTGGTTTTGTTTTTGTTTTGTTTTAAATTCAACCCCAACTGGATTGCCAAACTGGACCTTCCTTACACACTGTAACGACCAGTCATAACGGCCTTTCGTGATGTGACCACAAGAATAGGATTCACATATGAATTAAATTAAGGACAGTATGAAAATTACTACAAATGTTCAAAAGTTACACCATTCCTTGGACAGGGATCAGCACACTAAATCGGAGACTATCCCACAGGCTAGCGATCATAAGTTTGCATTGTCTCACAAACATTGTGAGATTAAATTGCTAAAGATATTCAGGTATTATCCTAGCATTCCCTTCCCAATAAGCCTTTAAGGAATTATCCTTACCTTACCAAGTATGATAGAGAGGCTAAAAGGTTAAATGGGTTTTCAATCTTGGAAAGCGACTAATGGAAAATGAAAGTCAAATACATAGGCATTTTACTTCTCTATATGCTTCTGATTGCCATGCTGCCCCTTGAAGAATGGAAAGGGGCCCAGGGAGGTAGCTCACTGCTAAAGTCCTCACCTTACATGCACCAGAATCCCATATGGGTGCTGGTTCTAATCCCGGCAGCCCCACTTCCCATCCAGCTTGTGGCCTGGGAAGCAGTTGAGGATGACCCAAAGCTTTAGGACACTGTATCAGCATGGGAGAGACCCGGAAGAGGCTCCTAGGCTCCTGGCTTCAGGTTGGTGCTGCCAGGGATCCTGGCTTTGGATCAGCACACTTGCAGAGTGACTCATTGGACAGAAGATCTCCTCTCTGTATATCTGACTTTGCAATAAAAGTAAAAATAAATCTTATAACAAAAAACAGGAAAGTAGCACACACAGAAACCATCCCATGTTCCCTGCAAAGCCCTCCCGAGTTAAAGGTTTGTGCCCTGGGTTGTATTCCTGGAAGGTGGTGAAATCTATAGGAGGCTGGGGCTAATCAGCAGGGACAGGCCGAAACGAAAACCTGACCTGGCCCGACTTTCTCTGCTCCCTGGCTCATCATGTGATCCCTTTCTTTGTTACACTCTCTGCAATCCCCCACACACTGAGGGCACTTCATCATCATGTCAGCCACTAGGACTTTGAAGGTGTCGAACTGTGAGCGAGCTAAATGAATCTTTATAGAATCGACAGGTGCCTTGTCTAAGGTATCACATTAGCAACCAACTAACACAAGCAGTGCCTCTCCAAACTTACAGCCTCCGATCTCTTGATCCACTTAAAAGCTGAGAACTCAAAGCCTTTACTTATGTAAGTTACATCTCCCAACTTTTATCATAACAGGAATTAAAACTATAAAAAATGCAGGGATATTCACTGATTCAATTAAAATCAATCATAGTTCATCCAAAACATGACAGTGTTTTAATGAAAACAAACAGAATCACTAGTGAACAGAAAACATTACATTTTTGCAAATCTTTCTAATGTATGACTTAACACAAAACAAATATATTCTCAAATACGTTTCATATATTTCACGTGCTACAATATGCTGTCTGTCAAACACATGAGAAGAATTTGGCCTCATACAATACGTAGTTGGAAAAAGGAAAAACATCTTAAAAATATTTTCAGATTGTGCAAATATTCTTATCAATATTGAAACTAAAAACTATATTAACGACCCTTTCACAGTGTTGACAAAATTAACTGGACTAGGTACTTGTAATTCTGGGGAAGATGGGAGTGAGCCCACTGCAACTTCTCCATGTGATGACACACACCACCTCTGAAAAACCACAAAGAACAACTGCTTACGGAACCCGAAAACAGTAAATAAGAAGCAGATGGAAGGGGCGGGAATTATGACATTAAAGATACCCAACAGCACTGACTCTTACAACACGGGGCTCCTCTGGGCCCCTTCTCAAGGAAGCCTCAACCTCGTTCTACAGAAGTCCAACCTTTCAGAACAAACCAATTTGTCTATTACCTTCCCTCCTCCACTCTCAACCCACACACTAATAAACGAATAAACATGACCAGAGTCACTAACAGCTCAAGGCCACAACCCTACAACAAGAAGTCCATTGCCCACAAGTTTCTGCCTGAAAAAGCTTAATGCCAACAGGAAGAGTTACATCTTGTTCCAGGTGAAATCTGGTGGTAGGTAGACACGCCTCTGAACCCCTTGTAAAGAAAGGTACATTGGAAAACTTAGATTATAATCTTTCTCTACTCCTACATGATACAAATCTTCTACCACCCACAAGAGTCTCCTCAAGAATTTAAGGGCATCTCTTTGAAATGCAAACAATTAAATAAATAACTTTTGCTTTTATTCCCAGTCTGTGGGAAGAAAGGGCCTTAACTGGACCATGACCTCCTATCCAA